CTGATTACGGTAATATTACAATAACTATGACATCTTTGAGTCTGTGTTACCCAGAATGGACTGTACGTGACTTCACTCTTGAACAGGTTGAGGTATTTATCATTTTATATGTAGTTTCCAAAGTTACTTCAACACAGCTGTGTCATAATCATTTGCAAAGAAATGCATTATATCCATATTGCAGTTTTGTCTTTAATATTAATTAACTCCCATACTTAATTATAATTAGTTCGTCACTAAAGCAATCCTTCTTCCGGTTTTCTTTTCTTGAGTATTGACTTGTATTGACCTATCAAATAATTGTACTGTTAGAATCGTGAAATCCGAGCTGTACGCCACTTCCAGTTCACTGCCTGGCCCGATCATGGTGTGCCTGAAACCCCAGACTCTTTGCTACGATTCATACGTACTGTGCGTGGGCAGATACCAAGGAATAGTGGTCCTAGTGTTATCCATTGCAGGTATGTACACTTTGATTGTTATTGTTGTATATTGTAGTTGTTATAGTGTGCACTATATGACTTGCATATAGTATTTGCTCGAGGGCACAAGACAACGTATGTATGCTTGGTAGTGTTTGCTAGATGACTTGTATATTGTGCTTGCTTGGGGGCGCTAGGTGACTTGTTATAGTGGTTGCTAGAGGGCGCTAGACAACTTGTATATTGTGGTTGCTAGATGAATGACTTGTATATTATGTTTGGTATATAGTGCTAGGTGACAGACATTTTGTGGTTGGTAGAGGAAAATGCATTACCTTTTATATTGAGGTTGTCAGAGGGTGCAAGATGATTGTATATTGTGGTAACTTGTTAATGTCATCAGAGTGAAGTTGATAATGTTATGCTTGTTCTGGTTATTTTGGGACGCCAAGCAAATAATGTTATGGCACATCTACCTTTATTATCACAATAATGTTTGTTATACATTCACAGTGCTGGTGTTGGACGTTCTGGTACATTCATGTGTTTGGATTTCCTACTACAACACCTTGCTAGGAAGGAGAATGAATTCATTGACGTCTTTGGACTTGTAGCTAAGATGAGACAGCAGAGGTGTTTTATGGTTCAGACAGAGGTAAGAGTTCAGTATTAATGTTCTTTTCGCACTAATACTTCAAAATAATTATTATTCATCATATAGTTTTGCATAAATTAATATTAAAATGGACCAAAACAAATCATCTGGAAATCTGATGTATAGTGGGGGAATTGACCAACAACAGAAGCAATCATGCACTAAGCCAAGTAACCCTTCCCAAAAATACATGTACTACATACATTTGCTCTCTCAGAAGCCAATCTTCTAATAGAAATGCATGTAAATAAAAAATCATTGAAATATCATCAAAAGATAAGTTATTTTGACCATCGCTGTATTTTACATTATATACACATGCACTACTAATAGAGTATATACGATATGTGTAGATATTTGTATTCGTAGGCAATCAGTTGAAATCATGTTAATAGTTCAACTCAATCTGTTTGATTGCATACATATATTTTATATCTGAGTCGATTTTTCATCTTTCTCTGTTAAAAAATTGTGTCCTTTATATATTTCAGGCTCAATACGTGTTTATCCACAAAGCAGTATTAGATATCTTACAAGGACGTGTTAGTGATAGCAATTGGTTATTGACACCTTCACAGTCATCGTCAGGGTGTAAGTAAAAATATATCTTCTTACGACGGTTATTGCTTGTATATTTTGTTGTTCTTAAGCCATTATACTATGTGTTGTATGTTTTGAGTAAGTAACATACACTATGAAGATTCATAGTTCTAGCATGTTACTTACGAGAGTAAGATGTTTTCCCATTTATATTTTAGGACAGTTTTCACAGAGCAAATAGTACAAATAGCTTTGAACAATTCAGTATCTCCTAGTAATTTATAGTTCACAGTAGGCTTGATTATTTGTAATTTGAATTTGACTAGTTCTACATTCTGTATATCTATATGTTCAACTTTTTGGCACTGCTAAGATATTTTTACTATTTTTTCTATAAATTTTGCTGATTTTAAGATTTTGTGTAATTAATGAACTGTGTGAAGGTCACAGACTTGTGTATGATGCCCACAGAAATTTTCACTGCGACAACATTTCTTGATTTCAATGGTTGAATATCACTAAATAAATCTAAAATGTTTAAGCCAAATTATTTAATAGTAGCATGTAGCCTAGTTATTCTCTAACAATTGATTGTTTCAATTTCGCAAGTCAGTGGATTCTTTGCACAATCACAATGAATGAAACACTGTATTCTTTATTCAAAATTAAAACTAATAAGCCAAAATGTAGATCACCAGCGATTGATATTTTACCAGTATATATACACTACCATACAAACAAAATGTTTAAATAGGACAAAAATGTGTAATCAGCAGATGCCATGATGCTCATTATAAAAACATCATTTAAATTTCTTTGGATCATATGATTAATGGTGTTTTTGTTCATTTGAAAGTCCATACTTGAACTAATTGTTTATTTATTTATGCTAAGATTTATTATATGCTTTTTTTTCATTGTTTC